GGACTGGCATCATCAGATATTCGAAACCACCTGTACCTCACGATCCGCGCTCAGCACGCGCGCACCCGCTATAGACTATCGTGTAGCCTCCTCTCCACAAACACAAACACACAACCCATCCCAACAAAACATCCGCCCACCTTGCGCATCCCCCCCCCCCCCCCCCCCCCACCCATCCCATCCTCTCTTCTCGCAACCTCGTTTCGCTGTTGGCGCAGTGGAGTGGGAGAACGAATACACTAATTCGAAGAAGCTGTGCGTGGAGGTCGTGGCCGCGTGCGGGCGCGAGGACCTCGCCCTCGCCCTGGCCGATACACACGGGTACCCGGAAGGCACCGTAGCGATCTGCCACGAAGCCGAAGGGCGCAAGGTAAGGAGGAGGAGGTGGAGGAGGAGGAGGAGGTGGTGGTGCTTGTGGTGCTTGTGGTCGAACACGCGTGTAAATACGTATGTGAGATCCGGAAGTTGGCGTCAGTTTTACACATTGTGTAGATAGATCTCTTGAGCTGTTGGTTCTAGAGCCTAGACGACTGGTGTTTGTGCGTTGGGCTCTCCGGAGTGCACACCGAACCTGCGTGGCTGTGGTTGCTTGTTTTTAGAGGTGCTTATTAATGTCTTTGACTTTAGTGTGCTCCGGTCGCGTGGTGTCTTTGCGAATGTGTCGCTGCGTGGTGGTCTTGCCTATTTTTTTTGCTCTTCTCTGCACAGCAGTGTGTTTGGTCTCTGCTTTCTTTTTCTTTCCCGATCCTCTGGTTGGCGAGGTGCCGTAGCGCGTCTCTTCCGACCGGTTATTTTTCCCCTTTCTCTCTTGATCCACCGCACGCCTTCCTTCTTTCCCTGGCCGCGCCCCCTCGTCCTCTCCCCCGGCTTGTCGAACCACAACATGACGCCATGCCCAGCCCGGGTGCCAGAACGGCCAACGACTGCTTCGACAGAGGATGGAAGACCCAAGCCGAAGGTTTGAGGGAGGAGGGCAGGGGGAAGAAGGCAAGGCCGCTGACAGCGGCGGCGTCGAGTCCAGGGAAGCAAGGGCCGAGAGGCAGACGTTCGCGCGCTTCGTTCTCGACTGGCACCTCCGACACGGTTACAAGACCGCCCTGCTCCAAGTCGGGGAGGTGGTTCCCGACATGCTGTGCGAGTTCCTGGCGGACTGGAAGGAGGCCGAGCTGCTTTGGATTTTCCAGGCACGTGGTGTCTTTTTTTTTTTTTTTGACACAATCCATCCATCTCTATCTATAATAGATAAGGGTCTAGGACATGCTGCATTCGATTGATAGCGTTAGCAGAGCAGTTCCTCTTTTGTTATTTTTGGAATGTTTGATTTTTTGTTGCTCTGCACACACGCGTGTTTTCTTTTTTTTTGTGGCTTGTCCCTGCCAGAGGTCCCGCCAGTTTGGCCGGGTACATTGCTACGTAAATGTACAGGCTCTCTATGCATATATAACTATTATTTTCCCGCCTTGCACCCCGTTGTCGCTCCTGCTTCTGCCGTACGTATATTGAAGCTTGGTTTCGCGAAGAGACTGGAGGCATTCACCACGTTAATTCGACTTCTCTGAGCCCCCCCCCCCAACCCCGGGCCCAATCAAATTCCCCGCGGAAACTACACCGGCGCGAGGAGGGCCCTGGCGCGGGGATCGCCGCCGGCCAATCAGAAGGGCGGCAAGTGCGAGGCCCAGCACCTTTGGCTGAACCTGGCCAAGCTGGCCAACCTAGCTGGCGGCAGCGGCGACGGCGGGCCCAACGCCTCCTCTGACCCGGTTAGGGTTGACCTCGTCCGAGGAGGCGAGATTCAGCGCCGCCTGGAGCTGGCCGAGGTCCGCGAGAATCTGATCAAGTCGCGGCCGGCTAACGTAAGCGTTTTTTTTTTGGGGGGGGGGGGTACTCATAGGCGTGCATGCCGTCGTCGTTATAGACCGTTGACCTCGCTTCGCTACATAGCAGGGACGGAGCACGCCGGGTTTTCACCGGACCAGGCTAGTACAACACCAAGCGCGCGCGGGGGGGGGAGGGGGGTACTCATAGTCGTGCATGCCGTAGTCGTTACACCATTGACCTCGCATTTCTACAAGCCGGGACGGAGCACGCTGGGTTCTCACCGGACCAGGCTCTCACATCACCAAGCGCGAAGCGCCGTTATCGTATTCGGCGAGTCGCATGAAGGGTGCGCTGCATCCTGCTAAGGGTGTTAGGCATCTTGTGCCTACTTCCTTGCGTACGGACGACAGCTGCGTACAATGTATGACTTAATTTATTTTCTGGTGCTTTCACTTCCAGAGACAGTTGTAAGCACTGTGTAACTGCCTCGAGGGTGCTTGACCAAATTTAACACAACGTGCGATTATCCCCTTTGCGCGGAGTGAGGGTTCTCGACCCCGCACAACATAATCTACTCGACCACCATTCATGGTTACCGCAAGAAAAAAAAAACGGGGGGGGGTAGGGTATACGCTCCGCCTCTCTCGTCGCGGAGGCTTGTTCGTGCTTTTCTAGGCGAGGGTCGTAGAGAAGGGATTTTGTTGTGCTGTATCTCTCTCGAAGGTGCGTGGTGCATGCAGGTGCATGCAGGACATGCATGCACCGGAGACAATATCACGCTCTTGGCCTCAGAAACTAGACTATTTTGAAGGATTTTCGTTGTTGGCTCGGGCGGCACCGTTTTTTTTTTTTGTCTCTTTGCACCACTACATTCACGGGGGCGACACTCCCAACACAGTTCATGGGCAACTAGCTAACTTCTTCTACACGCAGGAGACCAAACGAGAATCGAAACAGTTCTAGCGAACGCCCCCCCCCCCCCCCCCATATGGGTGGGGGGCTGGGCCCCCCCCCCCCTTTTTTTTGCTTTTTTTTTGGTGGGGGGCCCCCTCCCCCCCGGGGGGGTTGGGGCCCAAACCCCCCCCGCTTTTTCTTGGTGTGCTGCTCTCCGAAAGCTTTTCGAAACGGCGGGCGGGGATGGGCCCCCCCATTAACGGCGACCAACCCCGGGGGTGGAAAGAAGCCCTCCAGGAAACCACCCCCCCACTCAACTCTCTGTGGGAAGGGGGCCCCCCGGAAAAAGAAGGGGAGGGGGGCGTCCCGGGCGTGACCAACGTCCTCCGGGCG